TAATAATACTAATATCTATAGATTGTCATAAGAATAAAATGAAACAATGTATATTATATACATTTTGAAATTTAATAAGGTATTTAATGAGTGTGCATAATTGTACTAATATCTATAGATTGTCATAAAAATAAAATCAGACAATGTATATTAAAAGAATTCATTAGTTATAAATGTTACATAAATATTAATTGTTGTAATTTCTTGGGGAGAAGACAGCTGTGCTAAAATAGTAATGCTCTGGCCATTAAGTCAGAAGACCTGAATTCAAATTGTGGTCCTATTTTTATTAATATTTAATTGACCTTAGACAAGTCATTTAACCACTGTGAGCAACCACTTTTAGTATGTAAAATAGGAAAAAGCAATCTCTCATAAAGGTCTCTAGGAATAAAATAATTCATTATAAAATTCCTAACACAGTCTCTGAATTATGATGGATAGTGAATGTGTGTTACAGGAGAGGAAGAAGAATCCATATTGGCTGCTGTTACTGAATAGAAAGCCACAAGCATTTTTAAAGAAACATTTTAAGGAATTACCATACAATAAGATTGCGAAACAGCTTATTAACGCTCCACTTCAGACAATGCCCTCTTACTTATAAGGCCAAATCCACAGCAGCATAAAGAGCAATAGTCAAAAGCTATACAATCAACATGATTTAAAAAACAACAATAACAACAATTAGTGACTTTTTCTACTTACAGAAACATTACCAGAATTTACATAACTGACCAAATAGCTCCTACTTCTAATTCTAATACCTATTAACTGGGAAAGAAGTTAAAAGGGACAAAAGACAAAAAGGAAACAAATGCATCCTGAAGGAACTTAAATGGTAATATGTAAGGTTGAGGGTGACTTGTTTTGGGCAAGTAGTGCCCTGGTAAGATTGCCCCAGCCATAGATCCCTCAAGAATAAGTTAGAAGATAGTTCATAAAAATCAACTACAGCCAGGCACAATGGCTCACGCCTGTAATCCCAATAGTTTGAGAGGCCAAGGTGGGTGGATCACTCGAGGACAGGAGTGTGAGACCAGCCTGGCCAACATGGCGAAACCCCGTCTCTATTAAAAATACAAAAACACACCTGTAATACCAGCTACTCAGGAGGCTGAGGCACAAGAATCCTTTGAACCTGGGAGGCGGAAGCTTCAATGAGCCAAGATTGCTCCACTACACTCCAGCCTGGGCTACAGAGCAAGGCTCTGTCTCAAAGATAAAACACAAGAAAAAAAAAATCCACTATAGCTGGGCACAGTGGCTCATGCTTGTAATCCCAGCACTTTGGGAGGCCAAGGTGGGAGGATCACTTGAGTTCAGGAGTTCAAGAACAGCCTGGGCAACATTGTGAGATACAAACTCTACAAAAAAATTTAAAAATTAACCAGGCATGGTGGTGCGCACCTGTAGTTCCAGCTACTTGGGAGGCTGAGACGGGAGGATCACTTGAGCCCAGGAGGTTGAGGCTGCAGTGAGCAGTGTTTACATCACTGTACCCCACCTGGGCAATGGAGTGAGACACACACACACACACACAAAAATACCTGACTAAAAAATCCTGACTATACAGCACTGTTAGCTCTGTGGGGGTTGAGATACAAGATTAAGAGAATATAAGTAAATGGTATTCATAGAAGTTTCCTTTCTCATCTAGACTAATGAAGTTCTACTTAGCTACAGGTCTTTATCACACTATTCATTCACTCATTCACTGCAACAATATACCAAAGAACACACTGTGAGAAATACATAGTATAACACCCAGCCTTGAAGACATAAGATCAACACATGTAACAAAGTGCCAGAAGAGAGGTACGAATACAGCATTTATGCAAGAAAGACCAAGAAAGCTTCAGGGAATTCATGGATTGAATCTGGACGTCAGAAAACTAGAGGGGAAGGAGAAAGGAAAGAACTGTAGGTGAGCGACCAGTGCAAGGTAATGAAGGACAAGACAGTGACTAGAAAGAAAATGGCTGGAGCATAAGAGATAGAAACTAAAAAGATCAGAATGTCAGATTTGGAATCAGACTGCAAAAAGTCTTGAGTACCAGAATAAGGGATTTGAACTTTTTTCTAAATACTCTAAAAAGCTTTGAGTAAGGGGAAATAAAGAATAAAAGCTTTAAATTAGGAAGATTAATCTCACATACGATTGAAATACAGAATAAGAAAAAAATAGTGTTAGATGGACTCAGAAAAGCTATTGGATTTTATAGAAACAATGCATCAGACAGAGATCACTACATGAACTCACATCCATCCAACCTGTAGTAGAGCTAAATGGTATTTTAAAAAAACATTATATAAACATTATACTCTGTGACCTAAATCTTATGCACTGAGCCAAAAGACAGTGACAGAGACAGATCATGTCTATCAACCTAATACTAAATGCATTTATTCCCTAGAATAAACATAAGTGGGAGCTATGATTCTACATTCCCTAAGTTGGCCTCAATTCCCATGTGCTTTGCACAGCATGCGGAACACAATTCCAGGTTAAAGATATGTGTATTTTTTCATAAACATGGCCCTAATCATAAGTAAACCACTTTAGCCAGTGTGCAAATGAAGAAAATAGTAATAGCACTGGAGGAAAAACTATCTGTGGTAGACCTGATGAAAGAAAATACTAAACTGTAATTTACGTGCTATTTGAGAATCTTTCAGGAGTAATTGTGGCTCAATGTCTGCTTCACATACTAACCTTAGAACCTAAACCCTACTTAATGCCTTTTCTTCATCTTAATCATACTAAACATACTGAAGTTAGCTAAACAGGGTTAGTACAAAACAATTATTTGAGGGCAGAAATTTATCTAAAAATAATGAAACATTTTAAGAAGTTAAAACCAGGCAAATAAAAACAGAATCTCCATAAGGTTGGAGAAAAAGTGTGGGCACAAAGTACAAAAACCTCACCTGCATGGAACTTAGATAAGAAACTGGTCATACTCGAGCTAGAGAGCACTTACAAGGGTCTTATGAGTGTATCTTTGCATTTTCTCCCAGAACCATTAATAACCCTTTTCCCTGAGTCAATATTTTGAAATATTACAAAATTCTGGCAACCTATTTATTAAAATGTCTTTAATATCACACTAACATTTTCTAACACTAGACTAACACAATTTAGGGGATATAAGTATTTTCACTTTTAAAATACAAACTGTGCTTGCTTTGCACAACTGATAAAATATTTCCAAATCATACATTTATTTACCCAACAGAAGCTGAGCAGAATCTTTTCTATTGATTTCTATTTATTAAATAACAAATGGCTTAAATCACCAACTGTTTAAATCCTTAATTACCCCACAACAAAGACTTCATAAACACAACTATAGATAAGCAATCATTTGAAAGAGAAATAAGCTTTTAAATAACATTCTTCAGAAACCTAAGGACAAACCCATTAAACATAATGTACAAAATACATCCTGTTGCTATTGTCTATTCCTAAAAACTTCCTCCAAATCTAACTTAAATCATTTAAACGTATCTTAATGATTGACTCATAGAATAAAGATTAATTTACCAAAAAAAAAAACCTACTGCCAAGCCATGCGTAGTGATTCTCTAGAAGAGTATATCCAGCATAAACGCAAGAGCAGTTAAAGACCAAAAGCTAACTACATAGGCCTATTTGAGAAAAATCAATTGACAAATGACAAGAATTATATCTATACACTTGATATAACAAATCAACCTCCTTCTCAGACTTAATGTAATTTTAAAATAGTAATATTATCTAGTTGCCATGATTTCCAGATGAAATATGGAAATTATTGTTTTGTCAGTTACTCAGACTGAAATGATCTATTGACAAAGACTGTAATATAACTTTGTTTCCTGAGTCATTCACTGCTTCCTTTCTGTTCCTGCAGCACTTTATGCATATCTCTATTTGTTTTTACTGCAAGTGCTGAATCCTGAAAGAAGGAACTATTATTACCATGTAACAAATGAGAAACAAGCTTAGTATGGTAAAGTGACTTTAAGAAAATTCATCACTAAAGTCAGATTTCAAAGTCATATCTAACTATATAGCTCTTTCCACACTGACTCACTGGTACTAAATAAATCAAACCTAAATAACTGAATTGACTGCAGTTTCTTGCTATAGCTGCTCTGGTAGTAGGAAAAACAAACCTATCATGGACAAAACAATGTAGAAGATGCGCTCTGAGTGAAGGTGTAGGTATATTGCCTATTACCTGAACTCCATGCCCTACAAGTAGGAAAATTCCCACTTTATGAGTCTTCATATAAGGCAAAGCCCACCTTCCTATATAGAGGCTAACAATGCCATATACTAGCTCTTCCAGTCACCCTGCAGCACAGACATGGGTGCTGAACCTGGACTTTACCAATACAACATTTCCACCAAGACCACTATAAGACAGACAGTAAGAAGCTGGAACAGCAAAATTCGAATTTTGGCAGCAGGAGGCAATAGCAACATTAAGTGTAGCAGCTATGCAGGGGCTGAGTCTAGGCTTCAGCAATTTGCAGCTCCATTATTGTCACCAGACTGTTTTAAGTTATGATTTTTAGCTATGCCTCTTCTGATATCTAGGCTTCCTTGTTCCTGGCCTTTAAAGGATACAACCTTCTCACTAATTTGGCAAGGTAAACAATATGCTTTCAATGAATCCCTTTTCTGCTTGAATCAATCAGAATTGCCCTCCGTTATCTGCAATTAGAAACCCTGACTGAGTCATTTACTAATTAAATACATTACACTAAATAATTATATTTTATCCAATCTTTTTACCTTAGCATTTGTTCTTTTATACAATTTGTCATTATGGTCGTAAGTAACATCTAATTTATACTTGGTAGTATGTTCTAACGACAACAACAAAAAAACTTCAAATCAGATTTTTTTTTACCTTTTTCAAAAGTAACACAAAATACAAATATAATAACAATTACCTAAGGGTTATTTTCACTGAAGTTCAAAGTTAAGCTTTATTGAGGCTTCTTACCTGTCAGGAATACCTAGCCTCTTGACACTTCTATAAACGGAAAGAGTATTTGCAACATGTCGATAATTAAACCAGAATCGGGACGTACACACCTAAAGTATTAAAACAAAAATACAATTTTTATGCATCAAAGCTAACCATGGAGCTGCAGAGTATTTTTCTTTAAGTAGGATACAGAGATCTCTAAAGAAAGAGGATGCCATAATTCAGGCTTTAAAACAGCAAACATAAAGAATTGTCGGTAAAGGCCAGGCACAGTGGCTCACACCTGTAATACCAACACTTTGGGAAGCCAAGGTGGGCGGATCACTTGGGCCCACAGGAGTTTGAAACCAGCCTGGCCAACATGGCAAAACTCCACCTCCACTAAAAATACAAAAATTACCCGGGTGTGGTGGCATGCACCTTTGTTCTAGCTACTTGAGAGGCTGAGGCATGAGAATCGCTTGAACCTGGGAGGTGGAGGTTGCAGTGAGCAGAGATGGCACCACTGCACTCCAGCCTTGGTGACAGAGCAAGACTCTGTCTCAAAAAAAGAAAAAAAAAAAAGAAAAAAAAGAATTTTCAGTAAAACTAATCTCTCCAAAGAGAAGTCTTTCATAACTGGTATTAGATTTTAAAAGACCACTCAGCTTAAGAGAAAGCATATCTTTGGGAAATTTAATCAAATACTGAACCAACTTAGTTATCACAATTTCTGTGACTCAATAGCATTTCTATTTCTAAAAAGTTAAATTATTTAGAATCAAAGACAATACCCATAATTTCTTTACAGAATAGAAAATTAGCTACATAGGGTTATACAATATTTGTTTCATTCCAGATTGCTTCCTTCGTTGTGAGAAATGTAGGACACAGGATAAAACATAACATATAAAACAGTTATAAATGCATATAAGAGAGTGCATTATAAAGAAGCTATTGAACTAAAGAGAAAATTAGAAACAATCCAACCAAGTTTTATAGTTTAAAAATATTCCTAAGAATTATATTAAAGGTGCTGGGAAAATGTAATTCCATGCCTCAAAAGTTAGTGTTGCTGAGAACCCATTCTAAGGTAGGTAAATATAGATCAGGGTCACTTGGTAATACATCTACCAAGCACAATCCTGGTTTCTATCACATGCCTGTGCCTTTAGTAGGTATAATGACAATTTTGAGAATAGCGTAAGTGTTCTTGCCCCTGCCAAATAGAAAGGAATTACATGGTTTTTTAAATTAAATTTTCAATTTAGAATCCAATCAGGAAAAGACTAAATTTTTGACTACATAAAAATGTAAAATTCCATATGTCAAAAATATAAAATTCTGGCTGGACACAGTAGCTCACACCTATAATCCTAGCAGTCTGGGAGGCCAGGGTGGAAGGATCACTTGAGGTTAGAAGTTAAAGAACAGCCTGGGCAACACAACAAGTCCCCCATCTCTACAAAAAAATGTAAAATTTAGCAAGGAGTGGTGGTGTGTGGTTGTAGTTCTAACTACTTGGGAGGCTGACGTGGGACGATCACTTGAGCCCAGGAGTTCAGGGCTACAGTGAGCTATGATCACACCACTGCACTCCAGCCTGGGAGGCAGCGCAAGACCTCATCTCCAAAAACTCCCTTTTTAATTTTAAAAAATAAAGAATAATTTATTCAAGTTTCACTATACTAATATGTAAAATATTGGACAAAAAAAGAAAACTGCAGTTGTAATACAAAGGTCAGTAATGTTTTTTTTTCATCTTTTATTTTTTACTTGAATCCCAGGTTACTGAAATTGAAGAGAGGTTTGGTTAGAGGATTTCCAGAGCAAGGAAGGCTTTCATGTGTGTGTCAGTATAAGCTAACAGTCTTTTAGTTCCAAAAGATAAGCCCTTTGGCAATTGCTGGTCTGCACATAGGCAGTTATCCCCTTTTGAACACTGAGGGGATCCTAGTCTCCTGTAGAGAAAGTGTATCCTGTCAAATTGGTAGATGATGGTCTGGCTCCTGATGGTTCTCCTTACTTTTAAGTAGGCATTGAAATCCTCTCTCCTTATCTTTAGCAGGCTTTCCTCAGTAACTTCAGAAAAATTTCTTGTGAAAGGTAGCATATATAAGAGATTTTTTCTTGAAGAACAAGAAAATCAGCCATGAACCCATGTTACACTGTCCTATTTAATCACAATGCTATTATATTTAAAACAAACAAGTATAGAATCTGTAATCACCCTATTTACTTCTAGGAACCTATGGATAATTCATTTATGTTTTTATCAAATGATTCTCAATAAATTTACAAAGCCTCAAACATTCATTTGGCGTCAATAGTTAATTATAGTCTTGCATGTTTATTCTGCACTTTAAGTTGAATTCCTCTACCCATCTCCTTTATATTCCCACTATATTCTTACCATTTATAAACCCCAGTTTTCTTCCTTTTCCAACATGCATTACTAGCTTTGAGATGCTGTACATTCTCTGCTCCCTTTTTCACAAAATCAGCTTCCTTTCCTGCCTCTTTGAACCTAATCTTCCAGTCCAACCCTGTACATGTTTTTTCATTAAGTCAAACATTATATTTCCTAATCCTATAAATGCCATTAAATGAAACTCCAGTAGTGAAACTATTATCCAAATATTTTCCAACCATAGGAAAAACAAATTTGATTATGTGAATTCTATTTGGGGAATTAAAACTACAAATTTATGAATCCAGAAAAATTAAAGATGGTAATTCACACTAAGGTTGGGCAAAAGGCAGAAGAAAAAAAAAAGGCCAATAAGCAGGCCTTACTAAAAATCGAAACAATGCAAATTAAAACAAAATTTAATTTGTTGACCAGCAGTCAAAAAGTTAAGATAAAAATTAAGAATATATAGCTAACTTTGATTTAGAAAAGGAGCCACAGCCTTTCTGGAGGCAATCATGCTCCATGACTTCACATTCTTATACTTAGGAATTTATTCTAAAGAGAAAATCAGTCAAGTCACAGAGTTATATGTATAAGAACGTTCAACACAGTCCTATTTACAATAATGAAAAATTTAGACTCTAAATGCCCATAAACTGGAGGTTACAGTACATTCATAAAATGGAAGAAAATACAGCTTTTGGAAAAGATTATCTCCATACCTACTGGCAGGAAAAGATTCCTAAGATATGCTAAAGGGTTGCAAAATACCAGGTATAATATGATCCTAATTATATAAAATCATATATCTATACATCTTTATGCTTATATATGAAGAGGGAAAGGGCTTGAACAATGCTCACCAAAATATTAACTCTGGGATGTGGGACTTGAAGCCATTTTCCCTGTCTTCTTTAATTGAGGTGAAATTCACATAACAAAATTAGTCTGCCTTCTTTAAACTTTTCTGTGTAATTTGAACTTCTACAGTGGTCATTTACTATTTTTAGAAGCAGAAAAAACAACTGAAAAAATTTTAAAAAACATAAGTAGAGAGTATCTATAAACTAATACTATAGATAAGAGATGCAATTAGTAGTTTCCAGCATTAAAATATTTCTAACTTTTATAAAATGCTTCCTTTAACAATAGCATTCCTAATTTATTCTTAAATTTATTTTCAGATCACCACTTGACAGAGGACAAAGAATATTACTAGAATATTATAGTTGATGTGGTCAATTTAAAATACAGCCAAATCAAAATAAAGAATTTCTGATATAAAATGTACAAAAATAAATTGTATTTTCAAAAATACGATTCGCACAAATTTCTCAGATACATATCTAATGTGAACAGAAAGGTATACTTTTACAGTATACTTACCAGAACAGCCCAGTTGTTTGTATGGCCACTTCTAAAGAATTGTTCTGCTTGATCCTAAATAAAGCAAAACAAATAGAAGAAAAAGCCACAATTTCTCAGAATAAAGACTGATAATGGACAGTTAAGACTCCTGTAGTTTTTATAGTTGTAATAACAATCATCTTACGTAAGTTTATGAAGATTCCAGTATTTGACATCATGGACTACATAAAGAATCAAAAGAGCTTACAGCTTAAGATACTGTACGGGCAAATGTCCTGAACTGGAAATCTGGAGAAATGGGTTTCAGTCTTGGCTTAGACACCAATTAAACAGAGTAACCTTGATTAAGATACTTAACCTTCCTGAAGACTCAGTTTCCTCATGTGCAAAATGAAAGCAATGCCAATCCTACATCACAGCACTCTTTTAGAGAACTGTAAGATTTATGTGCAAGAGTTTCTGCTTTAAAATACTATTTAGCATTACTCAAATGAAAGTATACTATATAACTCATATCTTTCTATTTCCCATACCCTGAGAATTATTAAGAAAGTGAAATATATGCTCAATTAAGAATATACAATTTGCTTGTTCAACATTTAACAAGGCTATTATTTAAAACTGCAACTTCACCCCACCATTTTTCTTACTATGATTTATTTTTTCCACTGTGTTTATCATCTTCTTACATTATATATATAATTAACTTATTTATTATGTATATTATTAATCATCTGTCTTTCCCCAAAACAATGTAAGCCTCAGTAGGGCAGGGGTTTTCATCAGTTATATTCAATGATGTATTCCAAGTAAGCTTGGCATATAGTAGGTTTTTAATAAATATTTTGTGAATGAATGAATCCATGGTCCAAATGCCTTTACTGTCGTTGAACAAATCCAGAGTCTCCTATGGAAAACTGAAATCACATGGTTCATAGGTTCAGAATATGGTAAGAAGGTATTATATAAAGGTTGTACTATAAAGTTATAACTTTCAAAATCTTCTTTTAGGTTGTACTCTGATAATTCCTCTATTAAAGTGATCACTCTCTACAGTGAGAAGGCAAGGTAAAAATGCATATGCCAGGAATTTAACCGAAAATTAATATTTCACTTTTAGTAATGCCATACACTTTTTATCCTCATGAATTGCTTGTGCAATATAATCTCCTTACATCCTCAACAAAAACAAAATTTTCACTCTTTGAACTTCTCACAGACATCTTTTTAATCCTTTAATCATTTAATAGTCATCTCAGTTGATTCTCTAAAATCTCTGCAATTATGTCAACTAATTCTTTAATATTGGTCACAATATTAAAAATTAAAGATCAGACAAATGTGCTACAACACCCATAAAGATTGCTGAGGTTTCTTTTTTCTTTTTTTTTCTGGGAGATATAATTGAAAGAGGGGCCCGATTGCTTTTAAACATTTTATCTCAAACACAAACAAGTCTTCTTCATATGCTTCTAATTTCCCATTCAGTCTTATAATTGTGAATGACTTATTTCATGTCTTCATTCTACACATAAGTTAATACGCTTCCTGTTAAAATTTCATTCAGTATCCATTCTTACTATGTTCTAGGGACTTTATCTGAACTCATCAATACAGCTGATTGAGTACATCCTCTAGCATTCTGCCAGGGACCATTTCACCAATCTATTAAAGTAAGAATTATATCTGCCATCTCAAGACCCTAAAATTTTCTAACACCACATCCTGACACCTAATGAATATTATTTTGATTACATATTAAAATAATAGTGGATATAAGCCATACTGACCTCAGATCAGCTCCCAAACATTAATTACTAGACCTGTCAGAATGCCTAGGTTCAAACCTGGGCTCTATTACTTACTAGGTGTATAAACAGGAAAGTTCCTTAACTTTTCTGTGCCTCCAAATCTCCATCTATAAAACAGTAATAATATTATCTGATGCAGAGAATGTAGGAATAGTGACTGGAACATACTAATAGCCTGAAAAACATTTACAGCTTTAATTTTGAGCTAACAAGAAAATTTCAGGGAGAATAAATTTAAACTTCCACTTGTACACACATCTGTACCTGTGTGCACAAGTGCACACACCAAGTGTAAAGACCCAAGTATTATATATGCTGCCTACAAGAAACTCACTTCACCTATAAACATGCATAGACAAAGTGAATGAATGAAAAAGGACATTCCACACAAATGGAAAACAAAAGGGAGCAGGAGTAGCTGTACTTAGATCAGATAAAACAGACTTTAGATCAAAAACTATAAAAAAGAGACAAAGGTCAATACAATGATAAAGGAATCGATTCAGCAAGAGAGCATACAATTATAAATATGTATGTACCCAACACTGTAGCACCCAGATGTATAAAGCAAATATTATTAGATCTAAAGTGAGAGAAGAGATCACAATACAATACTAGGTGGGGACTTCAGCACTCCACTCTCCATTGGACAGATCATCTGGACAGAAAATCAACAAAGAAACACTGAATTTATTTTATTTTTGAGATGGAGTCTCACTCTGTCACCCAGGCTGGAGTGCAGTAGCGCAATCTTGCCTCACAGCAACTTCCACCTCCTAAATTCAAACGATTCTCCTGCCTCAGCCTCCCGAGGAGCTGGGACTACAGGTGTGCATCACCACGCCCGGCTAATTTTTGTATTTTTGGTAGAGACAGGGTTTCACCATGTTGGCCAGGCTGGTCTCAAACTCCTGACCTCAAGTGATCTGCCCACCTCAGCCTCCCAAAGTGCTGGGATTACAGGCAAACAGAACTAACAGACATTTATAGAACATTTCTTCCAACAATGGCAGATTACACATTCTTCTCATTAGCACGTGGAACATTCTCCAGGATAGACTGACCACATGGTAGGCTGCAAAACAAGCCTCAGTGAATTTTAGAAATCAAAATTATATCAAAAATATCTTCTGACTACAATAGAAAAGCACTAGAAATCAAAATACACAACAAATTTTAGAAGATGTTCAAATATATGGAAATTAAACAACATGCTCCTGAACAACCAATGGGTCAAGGAAGAAATTTAATAAGGAAATTAAAAATTTCCTTTAATATATGAAAATAGAAACACAACACACCAAAACCTAAGAGATATGGCAAAACAGTACTAAAAGGTAGGTTTATTGCAATAATCGCCCACATCAAAAAGTACAAAGATTTAACCTAATAACACATCTCAAGTTACTAGAGAAGAACAGACCAAACACAAAATAAGAAAAGAAATAATACAGATCAGAGCAGAAATAAACAAAAGAGATCTGAAAAATACAAAAGAAGTCAATGAAGCAAAAAGCTGGCTTTTTAAAAAAACAATATCAACAAACCTTTAGCCAAACTAAGAAAAAAAGAGAGAAGACCCAAATAAATATATTCAGAAACAAAAAAGGAGATATTACAAATGGGTAGTACAAAGAATCACTAGAGACTGAAGTACAAAGAATCACTAGAGACTATTATAAACAACTATACACAATACATTGGAAAACCCAGAAGAAATGGATAAATTCCTGAACACATACAAGCTACCAAGACTGAACCAGGAAGAAAGAGAAACCTGAACGGACTGAGACTAAGTAACAAGCTTGAAGCAGTAATAGAAGTCCCTCAACGAAGAAAAGCCCAGAACGGGATGGTTTCACTGCCAAATTCTACCAAACTTTTAAAGAACTAACACCAATTCTTCTCAAACTATCCCAAAAAAATTAAAGAAGTAATTCTTCCCGATTCGTTTTATGAGGCCAGCATTACCCTGATAACAAAACCAGAAAACAAGCATACAATAAAAAAAGGAAACTACAGACCAATACCTGTGATGAACATAGATGCGAAAATCTTCAACAAAATACAGTCAAACTGAATCCAACAGCACAACAAAGACATAATATGCCACGATCGAGTAGTATTAATTGCAGATCAATAAACATGATGTATCACATCAACAAAACGAAGGACAAAAAACATATGACTGTCTCAGTAGACACAGAAAGAGCATTTGATAAAATTCAACATCCCCTCACAATAAAAACTCTCAACAAAGTGGATATAGAAGGAACACACCTAAACACAAAAAGGCCATCTATCAGCCAATACCACACTGAACAGGGAAAAGTTGAAATCTTTCCCTGTAAGAACTAGAACAAGACAAGGATACCCACTCTCATCACTCTTATTCAACATATCACTGGAAGTTCTAGCCAGAGCAACTAAACAAGAGACAGAAATAAAAGACATCCCAATTGAAAAGGAGGAAGTCAAACTGTCCTTGTTTGCAAACAACATGATCTTATATATAGAAAAACCTAAACACTCCACAAAAAAATCTCTTAGAACTGATAGACTAATTCAGTAAATTTGCAGGATACAAAATCAACAGACAAAAATCAGTGGCATTTCTATATACCAATAATGAACTAGTTGAAGAAAAATCAGGAAGGCAATCCCATTTACAATAACTACAGAAAAATTAAACACCTAGGAATAAATTTAACCAAGAAGTGAAAAATCTCTACAATGAAATCTACAACATATTGATGAGAGAAAATGAAGAGAACACAAAAAGATGAAAATGCTTCCATGCTCATGAATTGGAAGAATAAATATTGTATTGTTAAAATGATCATATCACCTAAAGTGATCTACGGTTCAATGCAATCTCTATCAAAATACCAATGATATTCTTCACAGAAATAGAAAAGCAATCCTGAAATATTTGCAAACTATTCATCCAATAAGGGATTAACATCCAAAATATGCAAGGAACTCAAACCCATGTTAACAGCAAAAAATAATAACAATAATAATAATCCAACTAAAAATAGGCAAAGGATCTGAATAGATATTTCTCAAAAGACATACAAATGGCCCACAAGTATATGAAAAAATGCTCAATATCACTAATCACCAAGGAAATGCAAACCAAAACCATGATGAGATATCATCTTAGGGGCTATCATCAAAAAGACACAAAATAACAAATGCTAGTTATGATGTAGACAAAAAGGAATTCTTATACACTGCTGGTGGGAATGTAAATTAGTACAGCCACTATGGTGAACAGTATGGAGGCTCCTCAAAACAATAAAAATAGAACTACCATATGATCCAGCAATTCCACTACTGGGCATATATTCAAAGGAAAGGAAACCAGTAGGCCAGAGATATCTACACTCCATATTTATTGCAACACTATTCACAATAGCCAAGATATAGCATCAACCTGAGTGTCTATCAATAGACGAATGGATAAAGCAAATGTATGTGTGTGTGTGTGCGCGCACGTGTGCACATGTGTATATATAAAATGGAATATTATCCATCCATAAAAAGAATAAAATCCTATCATAAATAGGTACATGGATGAGCCTGGAGGAAATTACATTAAGTGAAATAAGTCAGGCACAGAAATTTAAATTTTTAAATTTCCGTATTACCCAGATATGGAAATTTTTAAAAACTTGATCTCATGGAAATAGAGAATAGTGGTTACTAGAGGCTGGGAAGAATATGAAGGTGCCCGGGGGAGTACAGAGAGACATTAGTTAACAGATACAAAATTACAGATAGCAGGAATAAGTTCTAGCCTTCTATAGCACTTTAGCATAACTATAGTAAACAATAATTTATTATATTTTCTCAAATAGCTAGAACTGTTTTCTAACATTTTGAATATTATCAACATAAAGAAATGATAAAGGTTTGAGATGACAGATATGCTAATTAGTCTGATTATTTCATACTGAATACATGCCTCAAAATATCACACTATCCCCCATAAATATGTACAATTATTGTGCCAATTAAAAAATATATATTATAAAAAGAGAAGCATCACTTAAAGAAAATACAACATTGGTCAGAAAGTAAAGTATCTGTTACTGGAGATTTGTGAAATACCATTAACAGATTTTAGAGTGTATAGACATGTAACCCTCAAGAATATCAATTTTCATCAGAATATGACTTGCTGCAGTAATGCAAGTTAAATCTTATGTTAACTACCAACAGAGACGGAAAAAAACTGTGATCTCTGAAATTACTATGGCTAGGATAAAATACACTTAATTTAGCAAGGCAATAACACAGTATTTCACATTAAATGAAACTATAATGGGTTTTCTATTGTTAAGCGTTGTTTCTGATAAATTACTGACATGACAAATATAGAATAATAACCTGAACAAAAAGAGTGTGTACGGCATGTCTGTGTGTGTGTGTGTGTGTGTGTGTATTTTTCCACCTCTAAACTCAACAGCTGCCTGGATGTTAAAGAAAGCAATGCGCTACAGTGTTTAAGCATTGATTTGGGAATTCAAAGACCTAAGCTAAAATGCAGGTCCTATCTCGCAACTGGCTGTGAAATTGGGGTAAGTCATTTAGCTCTTTAGACTTGACTATCCTCATGTCTCTAATGTGCCTTCCACCCCCAAAGTTCTTACTTCTTTCAGACCTTAGTGAAAAAATTTAGATGGCAAAACTTTTTTGTGGTTGTCTAGACAATACAGTCATTATAAACTTATTCATTCTACATACAGTAAATGGAGCACCTATTATGTGCCACATAAGTCAGGCACAGAAATTTAAATTTTTAAATTTCCGTATCACCCAGATATCAAGAGTACCATTAATATATAGTGATACAAAAATCACTAAAAAACATGCTGCTTTCTCTCAAGAATCCAGAGTTCAATAAAGAGGAGCATGCAAACACTTACACTACAATGTAACATTCATTAATTCATCACACTCATTGGGTAACATGCCAGTCACTGCCCTGAGTGCTCCAAATACAATGCTGGGCAAAAATAGCCATAGTACTGCCTTCAAATAGGTTACTATCTATCTGGATATTGGATATTGGATAGATATACATTTAACAGATAAGGAAAGACATACAATATAAGAAGAGTACAACGGAGGGACCTGACCTGGTCAGCAAAGTTTTCCTACAGAAGTGACTGTTGGGTTAAAATCCAAAAGATGAAGAAAAGAGGAAACACAATTCCAGACAGAGGGGAGACAGCTCTAATGTGAGAAGAAGCTTAAAGGTTTTGAGAAACTAAAAGAAAACCTAACTAGAAGTTTGAAAGAGAAAGAGAAAAAATTGGAAGTGTAGTCAGGGCCCAAAAAATATGCAGGGTTTTGTTTGTGGGTCATGGTGAAGAATTTAGAGCAACATTAAGGTGACCTTTTGAGCAACATTAAGGTGCCTGGGTGACATGATCGGAACTGCATTTTTAAAAGTTACTCTGCTTCAATTTAGAGAACAGATTGAAAGGAAAAAACAATGACTCAAAGAAAAACATTTAGGGAACTGTTGCTCCTATATCTAAGTGAGAGATGATGGAATAATAGTACAAAGTATACAAGGGTTATAGTAAATGAGTGCTGTATCAAGTGTACGAATTACAAAAGTAAAGGCAAAGGTAAGAGATACGGAAAGTTTCTACAGAGGTTATGACTTCACTGTATCCTAGCAAATGAACAGAGGAAACAGGATGTATAAAATATCATAATGTGAAAAAGCACAGCAATTATGTAACTACAAAAAACAGTAATAGTATCCAAGATGAAGCAGTCAAAATCAGAATAACGGAAGGAAATAGAACTTCTATTTACTCATATTTATGTTCTCTAAAAAATATGCTATATAAATATCGAATATATAAATTAACAGTAATTCATAAATATATACAAAGTTCACGCTCAATATCTTTTTTTTAACTGATAGGGTGTGTATTCAAAAAGTTTGGAGTCCACTGGTCTAAACTCAAGGTGCCCAGGTGGTGGGGAGAAGAGGTTCCAAAACGGAACACTGGAAAAGTAGGCAAGAACCAGGTCATAACGTTTAGACTTTATTCTGTATGCAACGGAGAAATATTTAAAAGACTTCATCAGAAGAATAACCTGATCAGACTTACATTTCGTGGAGACGAATCTAGCACTAAAGTGAGGGAGTATGGAGGCCTGTGGAAAACAAGATAAAGTAATCGCAAGAGTTTAGACAAGAAGTGATCACAGCCTGAATTAAGTCAGTGGAACTGGAGAGGTGAGGGCAATTTTAAGAATTCAGATCATAGAATTTAGTGATAATTAAAATATGGGATAAAGAGATTAAGACTCTCAGGTTTCTAGCTTAGGAGCAGCATATCTGGGTGGAGAAACGAAGGAGAAAAGAGGTGCTTAGTTTTTCAGTGTCTTCTTAAGAGTAGGTAGGCTAAGCAGAAGACAAAACTTTGGACACAGATTTTCAAATGTCTCCTGACTATCCCGGCTTCTTAGTCAGCTGGATATGCAGGCCTGAAAAAGATACCAGACATCTAGATTGTAGACCTGGACTGAGGAATCATAAGACTACGGTGGATAGTAAAAGCATTATAGAGCACCAGAATGTCTTGTGTCCACGTTTAAAAATGGGACGCTGGGAGAGCCCATGATAAAATTGAGCACCCGTTTTCTCCTCCATTTCTTAACCCAGACATGTTGCTCCTAAGCCAGAAACTTGAGAGTCTTAATAAACACTTCTCTTTATCCCATGTTCTAATTATCACTAAATTCTACGATCTGAATTCTTAAAATTGCTCTCACCTCTCCAGTTCCGTCTGATTCCTATCAAAACAGAGGGCTGCAGTTGCGTAGCAGGAAAGTAGTTGCTGCACACTGACATTTCACCAGCCTCTTGCTCATATTTCACCTGCTAAGAACTGCACACATGTAGGAGCAAAGGATCAGGTCCTCCTCTGTCTCCGAGCGTTTGATTCTTTTAATTCATCCTTTTAAAACGCTGAAACAGACCAACACTGTCCTAACCCGTGCCCAGTGACACCCTCCTCAAACCCAGCCAGGGTCAGGGGCTGATTGACTCCAGGAGGCTTCCCTCAGCTGCTGTGTATCGGACATCTACTGGAGAGCGCACAGTCACGACACAGCCGGCCTCCCGGGGCTCTGTGGTCAAATAAGCCTGACTCCTACCTCGATATGACTAGCGGCCACGCTGCCGAAAGACAAGAGCAACACCGCTACCAAGGCAGTCGCAGGCCGGCTGAGAGAGTAGGTGACGGCCATGTTTGCCGGCTTCAGACTTCCCGCACCTGAAGGGGCGGAGGCAGTGCCGTAAAGTAGCCCAGCGGGTTTTTGCGACGCCATCCGCGCCTCTTCGAGGCGGCCTCTGGACCGGCTTTAGGACTCCGCGCTTTTGCGGAGCTCGAGAGTCCGGAGCGGCTGGGACAAGGTAGACCCAGGATATCGACCTTAACTGCGTTTTCAGTTTGGAGGTTGTAAAATAGGTATAACGTTTAAGAAAAAAATTTGAAAGGTGAGCGGAGGAAAAACCCATGACTCCTTAAGCTTTAAAAGTTATTTCTGTATTTCCTTATTTCTTTTTTTTTTTTTTTTTTTTTTTTTTTGGCAGAGTGCTGCCAATTCTTTGAAAATATGAAGCTGGATGTGGTAGGAAGAACAAGGATTCTGGCACAAAAAGATGATAAATTGGATAAACTATAAATGGAAAACGTGGGTGGGCGCTGCAATTCAGAGGCTTGGGGTCTCTTACATGGTGAGAGGATGAACATGGGAAACTAGTTAAGTTTTTGTTTCTTGAGTATCTTCCGTAATTATAGAACTAAAGCCTATCTGGAAGAGACACAGCTTGTGTATATGTATGGTCCACCACTCTCTTTGTTATGTGCATTCAGTTTTAAGTTCTGCATTTCATCGAGTATGACAAACGTTTCCATGCTGCTTCATAATCCTCACAATTTTAACATTTAATGGTGAGATAAAATTCCATCCATTATTGATGCCTCAGCCAAAGTAATTGTCCCTCTACTGCACAATGCGAAGTTTTTAAGTTTTACTATGAAAATAATATTGTAAAGAGTATCTTTTGTGCTTTGGCTTTTTAAATCTGCTGAATTACTTTGTTCGTATAATTTTCCTGAAATAGGAATCTGGGGTCAAAATATTCAAAAACATTTTAATAACTATAAATGATGTTGCTTTCCAAAATGAACAAACTTACAGCGCTATCAGAATATGCAACCTAACACCATATCATACCATTTTTTTCCTTTAAATTCTTTGGTATGAAATGTTACCCCTAGGTTACTATATTTGTAATTCTTTGGTTACTATCAAGATCTGATGTTTTTCTTGTGTTTCTAAACTATCTCTGTGTCCTCTGATGTAAATTCTTTGTTTACACATTTATGTTTTGCATATGAATTTGAATAATATATTTATAAATAAGTAACATTAGCCATTGCCATATTTTATGCTATTGCTTTTCCCATTCTCTTGTCTCTCTTTTCCTTTTGTTTCTTTTGCTATTGCACTTTATGAGAGGTTTCATGCTATGTAGTCAAATTTAGGTTTTCCATTATGTGAATCCTAGAAAGTGAATATACTGCCAGAATATCTTCCATTTATTCATTAATTCAACAGATATCTGTTGGATGCTGATGATTATTAAACAAAGTAGCAAAGATGAGAAGCCATTTGCTCGTTCTGCTCTTTTGCCAGCAATGTTTCACAAAGCCCCTGACTCATTGACCGTTAGCAGACTTGTGGAAGAATGCCTTGAAGACCATGAGCAGGATAGGGAACAGGTTCTCACATCTCTTGCCTGAATCACTGAATTTTTACAAAAGGTAAGTTCAGTGATCCTAGCCTTTGCCTGTTCCTGTACATAAGATAATGTCTGACAGGATTAATGATTATGCCTCAAATTCATGACCAGATGTAACTTCATACCCATACTTTGATGAGACTTTACTTGTATTAACCCATTTTCATACTGCTATGAAGAAATACCCAAGACTGCGTAATTTATTAAGAAAAAGGCTTAATGGACTCACAGTTCCACATGTCTCACAATCATGGCAGAAGACACAATCTACCTCACAATCATGGTAGAAGATGAAGGAGGAGCAAAGGCACATCTTACATGGCAGCAGGCAAGAGAGCATGTGCAGAGGAACTACCCTGTATAAAACCATCGGAGGCCAGGCACAGTGGCTCACACCTGTAATCCTAGCACTTTGGGAGGCCAAGGCAGGCGGATCATCTGAGGTCAGGCATTCAAGACCAGCCTGGCAAACATGGTGAAACCCCATATTTTAAAATTAGCTGGGTGTGGGGGCACATGCCTTGTAATACCAGCTACTAGGGAGGCTGAGACAGGAGAATCACTTGAACCTGGGAGGTGGAGGTTGCAGTGAGCCAAGAGCATGCTACTGCACTCCAGCCTGGGCAACAGAGCCAGACTTTGTCTCCAAAAAAAAAAAAAAAAAGAAATGAAATAATAAATAAATAAATAAATAAATAAATAAATAAATAAATCCATCAGAGCTCGTGAGGACTCACTACCATGACAACAGCTGAGGGTAAACAGCCCCTTAATTAAATTACTTACCACCAGGTCCCTCCCTTGATACTCGGGGATTATGGGAGCTACAATTCAAGATGAGATTTGGGGAGGGATGTAGCCAAACCATATCATTCCACCCCGGCCCCTCCAAAATATCATGTCCTCACATTTCAAAACCAATCATGCCTTACCAACAGTCCCCCAAAGTCTTAACTCATGTCAGCATTACTCTAAAGTCTACAGTCCAAAGTCTCCTCTGAGACAAGGCAAGTCCCTTCTGCCTATGAGCTTGTAAAATCATAAGCAAGTTAGTTACTTCCTAATTACCACAGGGGTACAAGCATTGGGTAAATACACCCATTCCAATTGGGAGAAATAGGCCAAAACGCAGGGACTATAGGGCCCATGCAAGTCCAAAATCCAGCAGGGCAGTCAAATCTTAAAGCTCCAAAATGAACTCTTTTAACTCCATGTCTCACATCCAGTTCACATTGATACAAGAGGTAGGTTGCCATGGTCTTGGGCAGCTCTGCCCCTGTGGCTTTGCAAGATACAGCCTCCTTCCCAGCTGCTTTAATAGGCTGACATTGAGTGTCTCTGGCTTTCCCAGGCACACGCTGCAAGCTGTTGGTGGATCTACCATCCTGGGGTCTGGAGGATGGTGGCCCTCTTCTCACAGCTCCACTAGGCACTGCCCCCGTGGGGACTCTGTGTGGGAGATCCCACCCGACATTTCCCTTCTGCATTGTCTTAGCAAAGGTCCTGCATGAGGGCCCTGCCTCTGCAGCTCACCTCTGCCTGAACATCCCGGTGTTTCCATACATCCTCTGAAGTCTAGGCAGGGTTCCCAAACCTCAATTCTTGACTTCTGTGCACCCACAGGCCCAATACCACGTGTGAGCAGCCTGAGACTGCACAAAGCAGCAAGGCCCTGGGCCCAGCCCACAAAACCCATTTTTCCTCCTTGGCCTCCTGGCTTGTGATGGGAGGGACTTCCAGGAAGATCTCTTACATGCCCTGGAGACATTTTTCCCATTGTCGTGGTGATTAACATTTGGCTTCTTGTGACTTTCGCAAATTTCTGCAGCAGGCTTGAATTTCTCCCCACCAAATGGGTTTTTCTTTTCTAACATGTCATCAGGCTGCAAGTTTTCCTTTTATGCTCTGCTTCCTCTTGAACACTTTGCCACTTAGAAATTTCTTCCTTCAGGTACCCTAAACCATCTCTCTAAAATTCAAAGTTCCACAGATATCTAGGGCAGGGGCAAAATGCCACCAGTCTCTTTGCTAAAGCATAACAAGAATGACCTTTACTCCATTTCCCAACAAGTTCCTCATCTCCATCTGAGACCACCTCAGCCTGGACTTCTTTGTCCATATCACTATTAGCATTTTGGTCAAAGCCACTCAACAAGTCTCCATGAAGTTCCAAACTTTCCTGCATCTTTCTGTCTTCTGAGCCGTCCAAGTCTCTAGGAAGTTCCAGAGTTTCCCACATTTTCCTGTTTTCTTCTGAGCCCTCCAAACTGTTCCAACCTCTGCCTGTTACCCAGTTCCAAAGTTACTTCAACATTTTCTGTTAACCTTATAGCAGGACCCCACTACCTCAGTACCAATTTACTGTATTAGTCCATTTTCATACCGCTATGAAGAAATACCCAAGACTGGGTAATTTATAAAGAAAAAGAGGTTTAATGGACTCACAGTTCCACTTGGCTGGGGAGTCCTCACAATCGTGGCAGAAGCAAAGGAGGAGCAAAGGCACATCTTACATGGCAGGAGGCAAGAGAGCATGTGTGGAAGAACTGCCCTTTATGAAACCATCAGATTTCATGAGATTTATTCACTATCTTGAGACTAACGGGAAAAACCTGCCCCCATGATTAAATTACCTCCCACCAGGTCCTACCATTGACACACTGGGATTATGGGAGCTACAATTCAAGATGAGATTTGAGTGGGGACACAGCCAAACCATATCATTAATATAATTTCTGAGCACATTTAATGTAACTTCTTAACACATGCAGAGCAGCCACCACCTATGTTTAAGCTATGGGGTGAAATAATGCTTTGGAGCAATATAACAAACTCTCTGAAAGATTCCCCCAGGTTGCAATACTCAGCCAGACTTCTGAATAAAATTAACTTTAATTATTTAAAAGCCTGTTTTTTTCTTTAGTTGACATAACATACCAGGATATTGTAGCTGGAAATATGTAGGAGGTTCTTGCTCTCACAAACCTTACATTCCAGTAAGGAAAGCAGACAATAAGAAAAAAGAAAAATGAACACAATAAATTCTCATGATGATACAAATAAGGTAAGATGACAGAAACTGCAGGGAGAGGGAGACACTACTTCAGTGGGGTGGTCAGTGAACACCTCTCTGCAAAGGTGGTGTGAAATCTGAGACCTGAATGATGAGAAAGAACTAGCAATGCAAACATCTGAGGGCTGCACATTTCAAATATTTATTTTTTTACTAGTTTTATTTTGTATTTTATGTTTAACTCTAATTATCTGGAATGTATTTTGGTACAGGAGTCCCCCTTATCGGAGGGGGATATGTACCAAGCCCCCCCAGTGGATACCTGAAATCACAGATAGCACTGAACCCTATATGTACTATGTTTTTTCCTACATATATGTATCTATGATAAAGTTTAATTTATAAATTAGGCATAGTAATAGATTTACAAAAAAATAATAAAATTGAACAGTTATAACAATATAC